CACTGTGAATAGAAATGCTGGAACAGCACCTCTTCTGTATCCCATGACCTGCTCACAAGGATTCCTCCATGCACATTTGTTTGCATGAATGTGTGCAGATGTGTGTGAAGCACAGTACACTTCAACCATCCTAAGCAGACACTTTTTCTTTCTTTTTTTTTTTTTAATCATCTGGCACAGCTACACAATGCTCTCCAAAAATCCAGTTCCGAAAAGATACCCAGCAGAGTAGAAGGAGCAGCCCAGGCAATTTTTATTTCTTCCTCCTCCTTTCTGCTAGACTCCCTGAGCAGGGATGGAGATGGAGTGGGAGGCTTTAGGATGTGGTTTATCATCTGTGCCTCTCCACATTGACCCCTTTCCCTTCATTTGCATCCTCATCCAGGGTCAGAGCTCCAACCTCAGGTAAGGAAGCTGCTGACACTCTTTCTGAGCCACTGAGAGACAACCCCTGTTGAATTTCCCCTTCTGAGGTTGTAGCCATGTCAACCGCCTCAAGAATGGACTTCTAAAACATCCCATGGTCTCTGGAACAATTCATAAAATCGTTGTCTAGGGCCCCAATCTTATAGATGCTTTCCAGGGAGAAAGTCCTACTGAATTCAGCTGGACTTACTTCTGAGTAAACAGCACAACTTTGCATTGTACTTAATGCATTGTGCATTGTTAAATACAATGTACTTGCATTGTATTTAACCCAGCAGGTGTTGCTGAGAAGGACACAGTTAAAGATCAATAGAAATGTGAAAGTGTACATACAATAAGGAGTCTAAACAGCGTTGTAAATCAATATTCCTATTTCTGCAAACATTTCCGCATGCAAAATGGTGTGAGTGCATGTGTCTTTCCATGTTTTCATTCCTATTTTATTTCTCTAGCCTCAGAAAAATCTAAGATGGTGATTCATCCAGGCAGTTACTTAATGAGTTTAAAGTTATAGAATTTGTGTTTTATATTTGATAGCTTACATTTCCGTGTTCCTTCATTTAAAAAGGTGGATGCATTGCACAATCCAAAACCGCCCATAAGTAGTGCCAACATTGGAAGGGTTCTGATGCATTTCTCCTGTCGTCTTTGATGTAATACATTCCTGTAAAGCCACGGTATTAATCAATGTGCAAACAAGCCAGAGCATATGCAAATACAAACTTATCACAGCACAGATAACAAATCAGTTACAAGGAATTCACTCACCACACGATGGCAGTGCAATGCCAGAGAAAGCACCTGCAATTTGAAGCCCACTGGCAAGGAATGAAGAAGACTTATCGGTTAGGATCAGGCCACAAGACTCCGGAGCGTAATATCCTGAAGTTTGAAGCTGAAAAGATCATTCTAAGAGACTCCATAGATTCTCTGGAAGGCTGCCCAGCCCAGGCCCTGGCAAATGCCTCAAAGAGGAAATTCCACTGAATGCAGTTTCTCCATCCCTATAGAACTGTGATGAGTGGGGGGCAGAATACAGCATGTCAAGACACTATTTTCTGTGCACTATTTTCAGGATTCGGAGCTCCCTCAAGCAGTGCCTCACCTGAGGCCCAGCGCCACCATCCGACCACCTAGAGAACAGCAAGTGCAGAAGCAAGCTCCATTTTATTCCCATAGACTTGACGGTGCTCTGATTTCACTGAATTTAAGGTGCAACACTGCACATGCTCAGAGTATTGAGTCTGACAGAAAAACGGTTTTACTGCTCTTCTAACATGGCAGGAATGTAGAAGCAGATTTAAAAGCTTGGGACTGCAGTGGGAGTGGGGGAAGAAAGATGTGGGTTTGTGTGGTCCTGAGGTGGGGTGCCCCCGTAAGGCCATCAAACCAATGGGCTGTTCCCTGTATCTCCAGGGGATGGGTGCCCACCAGCTCTCCCCAGGACCGGGCCTAGCTCCTCTAGAAGCTCTGTCAGGTGATGTTCGTGAGGGAAACTGGAGCAAAATGAAAGTGAACTTTCATCTAGGACAGGATATTCTGGTCTACGATGAGTCAGACATGTTATCCACATACTGGCAAAGAAAGTGTATGGGGCCGCATGTCCTCCTGTGGGTGTGTGTGAGGCCTAACCTTTGTAGCTGATAAAGCAGGCTGCGCTGCAAGTCACTGCAGGTTCTACCTTGGACTTTGATGGTGCTGGGTGATTGGAGAGCAGGGCTGGGCAACGTGCGGCTCTCCAGTGGTGGAGGACCACAAGCGTCATGGTCCTTCACCGTGGAGTAAGCTGGCTAGAGCTGGTGGGGGGTGAAGGTGGACCACATGTCCCCCACCGCACTGAAAAGGAGCTGTAGGAAGGAAGGGCCCAGCTGCACCTCAGAGACACGGTGTGTCCCTCGAATGCTGTAAGGTTCCCGCAGAGACGGAGCAGATGGAGCCTGCCTTGGCCGGGCCCTGCCATCGCAGACGGGGTTCTGGTGCTGCCTCAGAGTAACTCAGGGCACAATCCTGTGCATGTTCAGACATAAAAATGCCTCTTGTTCCCACTGCTGGCTAGGACATGCTCAAAGCTGTAGGACTTCCTTCTGTCTAATCAGGAACTGGATCATACCCTCAGGGCATCACCTGCCTGCCTGCCTGCCTGCCTGCCTGCCTGCCTGCAGCAGCTCTCCAGAGGCTTCCGCCCAGCTTTCCCATCACCCACTCCCTAATTCTTTTCTGCAGGAAAGGATGGGGGAATGAGGAACCAGGCAGCAGTATTTCTGGATGCAATCTGGTTGCAGGCCCCACACAAGGAAGAATGTCCTGACTGTGAGAGCAGTACCACAGTGGAACCAGCTGCCAAGAGAGCTTGTGTGCTCGCCCACCCTAGATGCATCGAAGAAGCAATGGGACAAGTATCTGATCAGGATGGTGTAACTGGAGTCCTGCACTAGCAGGGGGTTGGATTTGCCGGACTTCCTGCCCCTTTCTGACCCGGCTCTTCTGTGAATCCAGGGTGACTCCATTTTCCAGGGCATATATAGGATGAATTGGGACTGCAACATTTCGAGTAGTGTGGACTACTTGTGGCCCTCCAGATGTTGCTCACCTGCAACTCTCATGAATACTAGCCCACCTAACCAAGGATGAGGCACGATGGGAGTTGTAGTCCAGTGGCAATTGAAGAGCTGCAACTGGTCCATCCCTTGTCTATAACCTGAAAGCACACTCATGACTAGTTTTGGTTGGCTTTTTGCACAACTGAACATTTTAGGCACGGATGTCAGGCATTTTCTCTGCATGACCTACATGGAAGTGTCAGGTCAAGAGATCCTGTGCCCATTACTGTTCGGGATGCCACCTTTTTACTGGCTCTTCTGCCATACTTTTAACAGCTTCCACAGAACCATATAGCAAATGAAGCTTCCACCAGTATGGAAATGAGCCATGAGGACAGCTTCACCAGTTGTATTTCTGTCTGCTAGGCTGCTGTTAAAGGTGGGGGGTGATATGGAACAGTTGAAAAGGTATCAACTCTGCCCGTAATGGATATTCCCGAAAGAATGCCCCAAGATATTATTTCACCAGATGCAACTTTCTGTGCAACCCTTAAGGCTATAGATGTCCCCCACAGGCTTGGACTTGGAAACTCATTTTTGTTCTGTTGTTTTTAAAGATTTGCTTCATTTGCTTCTGACAAGAGAAAACCAGGATTTAAGGAGAGGCCTGAAAGATCAGAGCCTCTGTGATTAGAAAGAAATCTTTGCCTGTGAAAGCAGCCTCAGCCAGCCTGATTTGGGGACAAAGGTAATGGCCCACAGAGATTCATTCATGTCCACCCTAAAAGGTATGCAAGAACAGAGCAGGTGTAGACCAGCTTGGCTTTTCCTGGGGCCATGGGGCTCCTCACTAAGAACTCCTGGACTCATCATACAGGATCCTGAATTCTTCCTTTGCCCCGTTTAACCCCAGCCCCAAAGATGCTGCCCAGTTCAGTCTCTGTTCAGCTGGCAGGGAATCAGAAAGCAACCAATCGCTCTCATACATGGATCTGCAAGTTTTAAAATGAAGCGGGCCTACTTCGTTGACAATGGCATTCAGTTAACAGCACAGCAGTGTCTGTCCTGCACAGCTCTCCATATATAAAAGTTCCACCTGCGCCGTTTTCTCTGTGCCTTACAGTTGATTCTGAAACCAAGTGAATGCTTGCATGTGTGTGCATGGAACAGGGGATCAAATCACTGTTCAGAGGACCTGTCCCTTTGCGGGCTTTTATTACACCACTGTGTAATACATGGGTAAACCAGGGTGGCGTAGTGGTTAAGAGCGTGGCACTGGGACTCAGACGACCTGGGTTCTAGTCCCCGCTCAGCCATGGGGCCAACTGGGTGACTTTGGGCCAGTCACAGACTCTCAGCCCAACCTACCTCACAGGGTGGTTGTTGGGGGTATAAGATGGAGGAGGAGAATGATGTGAGCTGCCTTGAGCCCTTTGTAGGAAAAAGGTAGCATATAAATCGAAAAATAAATAAATAAATAAACCTGAGTATAGGTAGGACATGAGCAGAAGGCAACTGAGATGCCCATAGTATGATCTGAAGGCACATAAGACATCTACCATGTTGGAGCTAAGCAGGTCTGGGGCTGGCCTGAACTTGGAGGGGAGACCACCCGGGAACAGCATGTAGCCACCTTGCATTCCACAGTGGGAGAAAGGTGGGATATAAATTTAATAAATTAATAAATCTTTGCATTGCTTGGTATGTATTTGACACCTCTGTCTTTCTTGCTATGGCTGTTTTGTTGCACTGTCTGGTTTGAGAAGTAATATATGGGCATTGGTGCTCTTTTGCATATAACACTTGATCTCTTGCACCTGTCTGGCACACCACAGTCTAAGGAAAAGCCCAAAGCCTACATATGCACTTCCTTTTGGTCTTAATCATTTACTTTGTAGTTCTTCATTGCAAGGTGGGTGGATCCTTTGGTGAGTGTGCAGCTGTTTACACTCTCCGCCCTGTGCCAGCCGATCTCTCGCATTCCTGCCACACCCGTCCTTCTCCAGTGGCTGCTGGCCACTCTGCCCTGTGGACACTTTACTGCAAGGCTCACCAGGAAGGACCAGGTTCTCTCCATTGGAAGCCACCTCTGGACAGCCCCTGAGAAGAAGAGGATCTTGGGTGGTTTGCTTCCTTGGATCCCCCCCCCCAAAGGCATCTGTCGTGGGGCCCTAGGAGCTGGTGGAAATGCAGGGAGTTCCAGAGACTTCAGGGCAGTCAGGGACCAAGACGAAGACTGAAGGAATCCCTGAGATCAAAGTTGTTACAGTCGGAGACGGAGGCTGTGGAAAGACGTCGCTGCTCATGGTCTTCGCAAAAGGAGAGTTCCCTAAGGTAAGCCTCCGCAGCCCACAGGGGCACCTTTCTGCTCCCAGGACTCTCACCGTGCTGCTTCAGGGCTAGACAAACACTCCATGTTTCTTCTGTCCTGAGCTGATCCCTGGAAGGTGCGCGTGCCATTTTCACTGACATGAACCTGTAGATGCTAAATTCTAGCAACAGCCAGAAGCGAAGCAGCCCTTTTTATTTTTCATGTAAAATGGGCATTATGTCCCTAGCTCTTCTGGATTTAGTCATTAATTTATTATTCATTTATTTATTCATTAATTTGTACCTAGTTCAGTAGGGAGAACTGGAGTGGTGACCAGGAATACTACTAGTGTTAGCAAGCCTATTAAAATATGGATTAAGATGCCAATATTATGCTATACAAAACGCAACATGGCTTGGAAAAATCAAAAAAGGTTTTTCTGAAGACATATTTTGAATGTACACTGTTTCTCCAGGGACAGTGGAGAAAGAAAATTCTCCCTATAGGACTGATGGCATCTAAAGTGATATAGATAAACTGACAGCTTTGAATCCAACACATAATAGAAATAGCTCAACCCTGTTTGCTCTTGTTTACCTAAAACAACTAAGAGTCCTGTTATATCTGAAATCTAGGTGTGTTACAGTATAAGATTTCATACATTAGAATCCACTTTGTTCAGTTGCATGAAGAACTATCTTGGGATGGCTGGCTTATTTATTTATTTATTTATTTATTTATTTATTTTATATACCACCCTGCTAGCCATAGGCACACTGAGCAGCTTGCATCGTGATAAAATCCCGAGACAGCATAAAAACAATACAATACAATACACAACACAACACAACAACACATAATTACAAAGATCAATAATAATAAAATCATTAAATAAACAAAATGAAAATAGTAAAACATTAATAAAATATACATTGCATCAAACTCCAAAAACAAAACATGAACCAATCAAAATTTTAGTTTAGAACAATATCTACATATTGGCAGCCGCTTATGATAGCATAAAAATTAAACATAATTAAAAATCAAGAAAATTCACCTGTTAAAATAACTATGGAACAGATGTATCTTAAGCTGGTGCCTAAAGGCAGATGCATGTCTATTGCGACAGGCCCAGCCCAGAACCTTTTGCTGTCCAGGGCAAAGGACAGGCTGAGGGTGCCTCCTCCTCCTTCTCCGCTGTCAGCCAGACCGGCAGTCGGCGGCCGAATCTGGATGCAGGCAGCGCCGCTTGCCGCCGCCCTCCCCACCGGCAACGCGCCTCTCTCGACCGCCCGGGGAAGCGGCCTTACTCTGCCCAAGGCCCCATGTGAGCACAAATAGAAATAGCAGGGTTTTCTAGCATAAGCTTTCAATGTATGTATCAGAATGCATACCTATGCAAGGGGGGGGTGTTTGCGTATCTATATGTGGCCAGAAATACTAGTGTCCTTAGGCATAATAATGCCTAGACTTTAACAAACGCAAACCAAGCATCCATGTATTTGCCCACTTGCAGACGAGGCCTAAAGATGACCCATTCAAAGCCTGAAAGCTTCATTAAATCCTCAACTGATTATGTTATTGAATGTGGCCATTTGTCCTTCCATTGGTATAATATTAGTCTTTTAGCCATTAAAAGGGAACAGAGAATCTGTTTATAAGGATCTTGCACTAAGTTCCAAGATGAAGTAGAGAACCGAGAAGACAGGCACAGTAGCAAAGACGAAAGAACCCTCAGTCCCAAAGTTTATCTATATTATCTATTATATTATTACCTCCTCCCAAATACCCAACACATGGGGTACAGAAGCATTTGCTATGCAACACCTTGAACGGTTAGCTGACTTAGATAAAAGATGTTGTGGTGTCCAATATATCTGAAATATTTTTTTTCTGAATGAGATGCAACCAAAATCAATCAGTCTTTCTGAGGTAGATGCAGGAATCCATTTAATGAGCAGAATAGGACCATTCAATTTATTATTCCATTCTTAAGGGCCTGTGTATTATACCTGATCAACGATAGTAACTATTTATAATCCTCGATTCGTCTGTTCAGCTTCAATCAATCCTTCCAGTAGTAGAGGAGACTCTGAAGCTGTAAAAGCACTGGGGGCAAAACTTGACAATGTGACGCTGACACCTGCTAGAGGCAAGTCCCAGAAATTGGAGGCTTTTATGTAGGGCACTTGCTGGTGGGGTAGAAGGAGAGGCAGCAGCTTTTTGGCCTTTCCGGCTTCCTACATTTTCTGCCAGATGGGCCTCTGAGCTTATCAGTCTGATACGCCCACCCACAACACAGCCAGTTCATCCTCTCCCAAGATCAAAACATCCACTTCAGGAAAGAAGGACACCCCAGCGCTTTCCACAACATCCCTGCTCAAACCCCCCCACCACACACACACACACACACACACACACACACACACACACACACCAGGCTGAAACATTGTCTATGTGGCTGCAGGTGGCAGGTGGGAGTTCCTAGCATCCTGATGACCTTCAGACACCATGCTGGAAACATAGGATTGCTCAGAGGGGAAATTATTACAGTGACCAACAAGGCGGTGTTGAAGATTTTTTTAAATGGTATTGGCAAGCTTACTAACACTTGCAGTGCATTTTTTAGAAGAAGAAGCTCCCACAATTTAGGCTGCAGATGTGTGTTTTATCTTCTTGATAAGCTTTAACAGTTTCACCTTGAAGTCTCCTTTGAATTTCATTTGTTTAGGGTCAGTAACAGTGACCTGGCTCATATGTAATAATGACTAGCCCAATTTTGCTTTAAAAAAACCCCTCCCCCACAAGCTTTGTCTGTGTGTGTGTGTGTGTGTTCAACAATTACAGCAAGTAGAGAAATAGAAAGAAATCAAGCTTTATTGAGCAAGATGGAGAAATTACCTCTCTGCACACTTGTTAAAAAATATGCTTTTGTTACCATGCTTCATACAACCACCTGCTCATACATTTTGCCCATGAACAGGTGAAATATAGATATGAAAGAGTTGTTCAGTCACAAAGTCGTGCCTGACTCTTCACAACCCCATGGACAACATTCCTCCAGGTTCTCCTGTCCTTCATTCCCTGGAGGAAATACACCCAGGCCCATACCTACCTCTCCAGTGACCCCATCCAGCCACCTCAACCTCTGCCCTCCCCTTCTTCTTTTGCCATCAATTGTTCCCAGCATTAGGGTCGTTTCCAATGAATCCTTCCTTCTCATTAGGTGGCCAAAGTATTTGAGCTTCAGTTTTAGTACCTGACTTTCTAGAGAGCCCTCTGGGTTGATTTCCTTTAGGATTGACTGATTTGATCTCTTTGTAGTTCAAGGGACTCGCAGGAGTCTTCTCCAACACCACAATTCAAAAGCATCAATTCATCAGCGCTCAGCCTTCCTTATGGTCCAGGTTTCACAGACATACATTACAACTGGGAAATCCATAGCCTTGACTATACGCACTTTTGTTGGCAGGGTGATGTCTCTGCTTTTTAGTATGCTGTCCAGATTTGCCATAGCTTTCCTCCCAAGGAGCAAACATCTTTTAATTTCTTGGCTGCAGTCACTGTCTGCAGTGATCTTGGAGCCCAAGAAAATAAAATCTGTCACTACCTCCATTTCTTCCCCATTTATTTTCCAGGAAGCAATAGAACCAGATGCCATGATCTTAGTTTTTTCAATGTTGAGTTTCAAGCCAACTTTTGCACTCTCCTCTTTCACCCTCATCAAGAGGCTCTTTAAATTCTCTTCACTTTCTGCCATTGGAGTGGTATCATCTGCATATGTTAATTCATTTTATATTTTTAATTATATTTTAATTGATGTATTGTGAGCCGCCCCGAGGCTTCGGCGAATGGGGCGGCATAGAAATTTTCTAAATAAATAAATAAATAAATATCATCATTGAGGCCCCATCAGTGAGGGTGTTCAAAGATAGGCTGGACATGCACATAGTGGGCATGTGAGCAGAGCCAGCTGGAGCCAAGGGTCAGACTAGATGGCCCAGGAGACCCCTTCTGACTCACTCTGTTTCTATGTTTCTATGTTGTTGATATTTCTCCTGGCAATCTTAATACCAGCTTGTGATTCATCTAGCCCAGCCTTTCATATGATGTACTCTGCATATAAGTTAAATAGGCAGGGTGACCATGTACAGCCTTGCCGAGCTCCTTTCCCAATTTTGAAGTAATCAGTTGTTCCATATCTAGTTGTCACTGTTGCTTCTTGACCCACGTACAGGTTTCTCAAGAGACAAATAAGATGGTCTGATTCTCCTTTCTCTTTAAGAACGTGCCACAATGTGTTGTGATCCACACAGTCAAAGGCTTTAGCATAGTCAATGAAGCAAAAGGAGAGCTGGTGCCAAATTTCAAATGCTATTAATTTAGAAGGTGCACATGCCATAGAATCTCATGCCAGGGCACCAATGTGGTTACGCATGGAGCAAACCCTCGCTGGAAAAAATAACTGAGAGAAGGAAAGGGGTTCTCAGTACCAAATGGAGGGGAAATGTTCAGCCAATAACGGTAGGACCCTGTGACCCTACGAATGCTGAATTACCACCAGAACTAAAGGTAGTTGAAATCCAACAGCATCTGGAAACCACAGTTTCCCAGCCCTACGGGCTAGATCAAATAGTACAGTACATCTATTCATTTTTGCAGACTACGCAAAAAACATGAGTTTCTTCTTCCTTTTCTTTTAGGTTTATGTCCCAACAGTGTTTGAGAAGTATTCGGCTCCCTTTCAGTTTGGTGACAAGCAAGTGCATATTAATCTTTGGGATACAGCAGGTATGTTTGTGCGTGCGTGTGTGTGTGTGAGAGAGAGAGAGAGAGAGTGAGAGAGAAAGAGAGAATGGTAAACTGAGTGTTAAGCTATAAGGGAAAAAACACTCCGATGTTACATTGGGCCAAATTATGCTAGTGCAAGAATGGGCAAGTTTTCAAGTAATACAGGCAGCTTCTCACGGGTGAAAGTTAACTGTAACTCAGGTATTTGCACATTCCTATGATTCACAATTCTGCCAGCAAATTTCCAGGGCGGTGAGTTTGGAAAGCAGACCTGAGAGTGATGAATGAAAGAATGTGTTTAGGCTGTTGAAGAGGCTGTTTGCAATGACATAAGGAACAATCCCCTTCAATATCTTAACTACGAGTCTATAAGGATTTAAAAATGCAATAATAGGTTTCCTACCTGTAAGTTCTCTCACATTATGTTTTTCCCACATATGGCTTTATATCTGGGGGAAAGGCTGATGTGAACAAATCACAAATCCTGTGTGTCAGAAAGAGGACCTCTCTCACCAGTATACAGGAGAAAGCCCTGCAGGGATGGAAAATGGGATATCCCATGATCTCTCTATAGCTATGCAGCCCAACTAAGAGGGAAAGGTGCTGGTTCCTCCTGGATGCGTGCCACTCCCTCTACAAAGACTGCTTTTGGATAAGGTGGCCCAAACTTCCCTTACGCTCCAGAAGCATCAGGTAGGGAGCTGGAAGTCCAGGGGCCAAATCTACCCCTCCTGGGGTCCCTCTCCCCTGTCCCCGCCGCTTTCCCACAGAACCCTGGTAGTTCCCAGGCTTTGGTGCAGCCATCTTCCCCTCTAAAATGTCGAAACACCTCTCTGCCGCGGCATGCAAACTGCCTGTAAGACCCTTAAGGAAAAACATGTTGGGGGGAGGGGTGCTTTTGGCTCCACCCCTTCTGCCTATGGCTCCACCCACCACAGGGAGGTGATCCCTGAGAACTTCTCTGAAATTGACCTTGGCGTGAGGACTGAAGGAGTTCCTATGCTTGACAATGGAAGAAAGAATCTGCTGCCACTTCGGTGAGAGCCCTTCTGCTTACTAATTCATTACTGAATTCCCATGGCGAAAAACTGTATTTGAGCATCAGTTCTGATGGGAGACAAGTGAGTTACTTTAACAAGTTTCTTCTCTACAACCCTATTTCTGATGATAAGAACTAGACAAGCATGAAGAAAGGTGGGGCATGGCAGGCAGGTACTACAATCTTCTTGATGGAGCAGATTATTAGAGAGGCCTTCAGTATTCCAAAAGACAGCCTTTAAAGCAGGCCTGGGCATTGTACAGCCTGCGGGCCGCATCCGGCCCGATGGCTGACCCTGACTGGCCCGCATGAGGTCACTGGCAAATTAAAAGTCAATGCAAATATATATCGTCGTAATATAGATGCAAGCAATACAACTGCACTGCTTTTATTTTGAAGGATCTGCTAAATTGAATTGAATTTATTGCTTTTCATGTAATGATAATGTTTTTGTGAATATTCATTAGTGTTGTTCTGTGCTCCACATTTTCATTGTATCATTGTAATGTTTCATTTACTGTTTTTATAGAGAAATATATTGAGCAGATCTGTAAGTGTATTGGTCCGGCCCTTAACAACTGTCAAAGTTTCTCATGTGGCCCCATAGAAAAATTAATTGCCCACCCCTGCTTTAAAGACTTGCAATGAGAGACAGTGTGGTGTAGTGGTTAAGAGTGAGGGTCTGGGGCTCAGGTGATATGGGTTCTCATCCCTGCTTAGCCATGGAGCCAACTGCCCAGTCAGAGGCTCAGCACAACCGACCTCACAGGGTTGTTGTTCTGAGAATAAAATGGAATGGAGGAAGAGAATCATGTACGTTGCCTTAAATTCCTTGAGAGGAATTATGGTGGGATATAAATATAATAAGCAAACAAACAGATGTGACACACACCTTCCAAAAAAGTCAATCTAGTCTAAATAATGTTTGCTGAGGTGGGAATATCCCCATAACCCAAAACTGCGTTGAGGAGAAGATGAGGAAAATCTCTGATGAAAGAATATTATATTAAATATATTTCTTTGCAACAAATTGGCTCCTTTTCAAATGTAACTTTGAAGGGGGAAATAGAATTCTGTAAATACATTTAGGAATCATATGATCTCTGGAAGAGCCACAGAATTTTTCAGGACTTGTCCTCTAGGGAAGGAGAGAAAGCTCTGCCCTCAAAGATGGTAACCCATCCTCACAAACCCCCTCTGTTAGGTCCATGGCTGGTCCTCTGATCCCAGATTGCACAAAAAGGTGTCCCATAGGCATGCACAGGGAGACGGTATTTCTGCAGGATTTAATGTCTCAAGTGGCCCTGACAGACTTCCAGAGCACAGGGAGAACTAGACCAATCCATTGGAGGGAAAAATAGAAAGAATGAAAGAAAGCATAGAGATAAAAACCATAAATAAAAGTTTAAAAGCTTCCCGTAACCCACCTTCTATCCTGCAGGAGAAAATGACAGAGCATTTGAAAAGGCAGTTCCTCCCTCTTGGATTGCTAAATTAATAATGCAAACGAAATGTATCATCATAAAATTTTGGGTGACTTTTCCTTCATTTGTTTACAAAGAACTGCAGGCTGTGTAGCTTGTCAGGTTAGCTCATTACCCCTACAGTTTCTGGAAGGATGTGAAACATTTTCCTTTACACTGGTATTAGCCCAACCAGACACGTTCAGTATAGTCATATAGGAAACAATTCTCTTCTAGACACAGAAAAGTCGCTGCTCTAGAGACTGTAAAATGTCAAATTTACAATTTGCAGAGTAGTTATACAGAGCTCTTCAGAGCTTCTGTCATGATCTGGTAATCTGGGAGCAGCAGGACAGACTATAAATCCTTCCCATCCCATTCCAGGGCATAAGTAAGAATAAAGTCTTACCCATCCCATGTTCATGACTGAAAGGTATTTACATTCTGTTCCCAGGATAGTGAGAGTGGGGACTCCTCCCTGGCCAAAGCCTCACTCCATCTGGACAGATGATCAGATGACAGAGGCAGTAAGCCAGGGCAGGGCAAGGCAGAAATGAGGAGCTTGGGACATGCCATTCATAGAATGGCCTTCCAAAAGTCATTCTCCTGGCGCCCTCTTTGCAATCTTTTCAGCACCAGGGAAAAACAGTCCTCTTCTCCACACATTTTATGACTGATTTTAATACTTGGATATTATTTATACTGTTTTTTCTTTTAATGCATTTTAACTTATTGGTACCTGACCACAACTGCGTATTTCTCTGTTTTATTGTTTTTATTATTGTTATTTTATGAAATATTATTTTATGTGATATTGTAATCTGCTTGGAGAGTCTTTGGACTAGTATAGTGGAATGTAAGTTGAACGAATGAATGAATGGATGAATGCTGAATCTTTGCCTATGAGCCATGCCAGCCCAGAAGCTAACACAGAGAGAGAGAGAGAGAGAGAGAGAGAGAGAGAGAGAGAGAGAGAGAGAGAGAGAGCGCGCGCGCGCGCGCGCGCGCAACCATTGCTGCTTATTGCATATTTGGGGGAAATTGTAACTACACAGCATGGATGGGGTTGAGCCTATATTAGTTCTGTCTCATTGCTTCACACCTGCTGCACTCAGGATTGCTTAGTTACCTTAAGACTGGCAGGAAGGATCATCAGATTAACAATAATGTCATCTGCAACCCAACAATATTCCCCTACGGAAGCACACCTGTAGCATAAACGGCTGTATTATGAAAGAGAAAGCATAAGGCAAGGAACCTAGGCAATGGTTGAATGTTAATTGGGTCAAACTTTCTACCTGAAATTTCACTTTCAGAAGAAAAAGGTCTCCATGTTAACCATGTGAACTTTCCAACATGGAATTAGCTGCTCAGTCACTGAAGAGAGAAAATGCAGAGCCATATAAGGAGTTGTTTCATCTCTAGAAAATAAGATCCTTTCTCACATCTTGAAATATAGGGTGATGTTTTGGGGCTAAGCAAAACACTAGGCATTCAAATAGCTGCACCTTTTCCTAAGGCAGAGGAGAAGAATTCAGGGAAAGGAAGGAGTTTGTGTCCACTTTGGACCACTCTGCACTTTGCAAGCAGCTGAGGAAAGGTTTTAAGAAAGCAAAGCCTATTAATAATAGAATGGTGTCCATTGACAGTTGGAATAAGCAAAAACCATTAATTAAATCACTGTATAGAGGGACAAATAACTGAATTAAAATCCACCAAGAGGGCCATCCCATGCATGCTTCCACAGTTTAGCCTCAGCATTCCCCAGCCAGGGCATACTGCAACTTCTGGGCCCTTTTCTGTGTAATCAAGCACAGAATTTCATCCCAAATGGTTAATTCATGTAGGGAGCTACGCTGTAGGTTTGGGATCATTCTTGACTTTTTTACTTTGCCCGCTTTCCTTGTAAGAAAAAGATGCCTGTTAGCACTGAAGCCATGTTTAAAGTTTGCATTTCCTTCTGTCTCAAGTGTGATCAGTCAAAACAGACCCTACAATATTAATTCTGTCACAGAATGCAACCCTGTACCCACCTAGCCGTGAACAAGCTCCACGGAACTCAATACAAATTACTTTTGAGCTGACATATACGGATATGTCACCTTGGGTGCCATATAGCAGGAAGGCAGGACAGAAATCCTCTTACACATAAATAAAAGGCCTAGCTATGCATATTTTAGATAGCAAAATGTGATGTAAGAGGATTGCATTTGTATATTGCAATCGATGGGAAAGGTTGCTCTTGTGTTGAAAAGTGAAACCAATGCATGCAGTTTTATCTCCACTCCATCCAGGACAAGATGATTATGACAGGCTCCGGCCCCTCTCTTATAGTGGGACTCATGTCGTTATCATGTGCTATGATGTTACCAACCCATCCAGCTTTGACAATATTCTAATAAAGGTAATAAGAATACCTATTAACTCAAGTCTCTCTACGATACTCATTGACAATATTTGATGTCTGTGGGATTAATGTGATAAAAGACAATAAGTAAATAGTCACACTGTCTCTATCATAAACATGGGTAGCAGTGTGGATAGTGTATCAGGGTAGCACTGACTCATACAAACCTATCTCTGTCACAAAAGATAATTACATCTTTTAAAAAACTTTGTCAAGGGGTGGTGAGAGCAAGAAAAATATTATCCATCAGGTGTCCACCAGCTGTCCAAAATACATCTCCTATATAATCTAGTGTACAGGCTAAAAGCTTTAGGTTGTGGTTCTCTAGAAAAATCGCTTTATTTCCTTTGCTCATCTATTTACCAGAACCTTTCAGTCATCACTACTGTAATCTAGAGGTGGCATAGCATAGATCCAGATCTACAGGTGTTGATTGGTAAATATTTCTAACTTCCAACTATTTAACAATAGCAACAATAAAATTACCCTTCCCCCTTTCTTGCTGCCCCAAATTCTATTGCTGAAGTGAAGAAAGAAGGGGAAACCAGGAATCCATTTTTGTGGGGAAGCTATAGTCACTTATGTGAGCTGTGTTTTGTTCTAGAACTCATTCTTGAGGTTCTAATAAACAAAAAAGCTGTTCCTGCCCCACTGTACACTAATCTCTTCTCCCTCTCCCTTCTCCACTCCCGGCCTTTTAGTGGCATCCTGAAGTGAATCATTTCTGCAGGGGGATTCCCATCCTACTGGTTGGCTGCAAGACAGATCTAAGGAAGGACAAGATTCAGCTAAGGAAGCTACATCATGACAATCTAGAGCCCATCACATACCAGGAGGTAAAACAAAGACAGCCCCCTGGGCATAATTTACTGATATGCAAGGCCTGGTAAAGTTTTGGAGGCCTTCCTCACTGGCCAATTAGAGGCACAAAAGGTGTTACTCAGTTTTTCTTCTATGTGCTGATCCTTGCCAGAGGAATGGCCAATAACCCAGGGCAGCTTGGATTGCAGTGCAAGTTCTTTCCTAATAGAAGTATGAGGTAAGACACCTGAATGAGATGGCCCTCCTCAGGCATCAGATGATGTGGTGCCATCAAAGGACAGAAAAGTGCCAGATATTTTGTGCATTATAGTTGATATATTATAAAATATAATTGTCCTATGTTGCTATATCTTCTCAACATGATACCCAGAATTTGGATTTCTGCTCAAGTACCTAAATATTTTAGGCCTTCTCTGCCATTAAAGGGCTATAAATCGTCCGTAGAGGATGTGTTTTCATTTCCACCCATTCCCTTGATTCAGGAAGTAACAAAGTCTGTTCTGTTCTTTTCTTCTGCTTCCTCTATCCAAACTATTTGCAGGGAGAGGCATTAGCTCAGCGTCTCCATGCGGTTGCCTACCTGGAGTGCTCAGCCCGCTTGCATGAGAATATTGTAGACATCTTTACAGAAGCCTCCAAAGCAGCCTTGAGCACCCTGAAGAAACAGCGCCGCCATAAACACAAGAGGACTTGCCTGCTTTCCTGATCACCCACATGACCTGGTCTCAGCTCTGCCCTGTGGGAAGAAATCTCTTTAAATATATTTGTACAGCCAAGTGAAGCCAATGGGACACTTCCTTAGCTGGTGCAGATCAGCATGCAAGCAGATGGGCTGTACGAGATTGCAGCAGCTGAAAATTAGACCTTTCAGATCTAGTGACTTGGTATCCGCCTATAGCAGCCGAGCAAGAGATCACAGGTCTCATGGGAATCTGCAAATAATCTGGTCTCTTAACTCAAACGAACAATGTCTCTGGAATCAAGTGAAGACCCACTCAGATATTCCAGCCATGTCAGGCTACACTCACCAACCCAAATGCAGCTTTTGGCAACTAAGTAGTCCCCCGTCTGCTTGAGACTGCGAAAAGAACTGTCAAGCAATTGGGGTGGAACTGTACATGTTTGGTGGGCTGCATCCACCTTGATGAATCACAAAGGTATCAGGATAGGGCTATACCAACTCCTGAAAAAAGGACTACCTTCCTTCCAGAAAAAATAAAGGCCTGTTTGTGATGTTCCAACTGTTTGCCAATGTCATATTGCCACTTGATGTTCAAGCTGCCATCGGCTGTATCCTCTCAAGTAATTGTCTTATGATTGTTGATTGTCAGCGTGGCCCTGTCCAGAGAATGATATTTCCTGAGAAGGTGCACTAGCAAATACTCATTTCACACAGCTCTGGGACTCAATTCAGTTTTGTCATTTAGACTGCCTGGGAACTATAATTCCCAGCAGTGGTGCAGTGAGGTCACTTGAGAGTCTGGACTGAATGGCCTTATGAGGCCCTCTTTAGATGTCCATGGGTATTACTTCAGCTATGAAGCACCTAACTAACCTTTATCCTTCTCCTCATCCAAATGCTATTCCATGCTTTACAAGTGCTTCTACTTTCCTGGTATGTTAGAGGAATGAACAGATGAGAGATAGCTCGTCCATTACACAAAAAGGAAAAGAAATACTCTAAGCATGTGCAGCTTGGCAGTTTCAATGAATTTAAATGATAATACTACCATGACTACAGGAAAAAATGGAATTTGGTTCTGCTGCCAATCGCTGGGTAATCATTTGGAGAGGGGAGGCTGGGCTGCCAGTCTTAGCCCTATCTGCACCACTGATCCCTGGTGAAAGCCCTTGTTATGCCGGGTGGCACATAAATGTGATCATAGGCTTTTTGGGCAGGCACCTGAAAGAGCAGGTTAATTCTAGTACTTAATGTATATGATTCTACTAAAAGACGCATGCTCCTTGGGAGGTAAGCTATGGCAAATCTAGACAGCATACTAAAACGCAGAGACATCACCCAGCCAACAAAAGTACGTATAGTTAAGGCTATGGTTTTCCTAGTTGCAATGTATGGCTGTGAAAGTTGGACCATAAGGAAGGCTGAGCGCCAAAGAACTGAGGCCTTTGAATTGTGGTGCTGGAGGAGACTCCTGTGAGTCCCTTGGACTGCAAGGAGATCAAACCAGTCAATCTTAGAGGAGATCAACCCTGACTGCTCTTTAGAAGGCCAGATACTGAAGATGAAACTCAAATATTTTGGCCACCTCATGAGAAGGAAGGACTCCCTGGAGAAGAGCCTAACGCTGGGAACAATTGACAGCAAAAGAAGAAGGGGATGGCAGAGGATGAGGTGGCTAGATGGAGTCACTGAAGCAGTTGGTGTGAGCTGAAGCATGGGGGATGGTGGAGGACAGGAAGACCTGGAGGAGTGTTGTCCACGGGGTCGCAATGGGTCGGATGCGATTTCACAACTAGTAAGCAAGCAAGGATACCAGGCTAGAAGTGGAAGAGTGCCTAGCTTCTAAAAATGTCAGTACTTTGGAGAGCATTCAGGACTCTGGATGCATCTCATGATGGACAGAGGATGTTTCCCTTTCTAAGAGGTGTATTTCTATACTTTCAGCTCACCATTTGCTCATTGCTAAGGCAACATTTCAAAGGGAAAAGTCAGAACACACATGTAGTGGAAAAGTACACTATCAAATATGCTAGAACTTTATTTGCATCCAGCTAGTATACTGGACAGCACTTCCCATGGAAACTGCCTCAGGCAGGATAGGAGCAAGTCAAAGCTTATTGCCTGAAGGCTGTGACTACAGAATTGCATTAGTGATGCAACAAAACGTATTTGCATTTCATGTAGATGCTAGAGGCAATCAGAAGAAACAAGAGAATATTTATAGATTGATAAAAATCCAGTTCAGGGGTTTGATTTGAGCCTGGGTTGAGCAGTAAACTTCTTTTTCAGTACCAGAGGCCAACAACATCTACAATAATAATGAGAAATGAGACCTGTAACAATATGTTGCCATTAGTAGAATGCCCATTCAGGATGCCTGCCAGCCATGCCCCTTTCTAGATTGCCCTATTTCATTACTGCATGCTACCATTTAAAACAAAGGACAGTCAAAGGTCTGTGGCTTCTGAGCATGCTCAGTCCTCTGCTGCTTTGAGGTTCCTACCTTCCTACACCTTCCTTGTGTGCATGGATGATGTGATTTTGACTACCTATGATGTATTAACTTTTGGAAAATAATTCTGCTATTGGTATGGAGGGTAGCATCTTTAAATATGTTTAAAATGCTCTTTGTTTACTGCTAAATAACAACACATGGCTCCAAGGAAGAAGAGACTCCAAGTCAGACAGCACTACCAGACAAACAGTTTTAAGTCTTCCTTTCACATTTAATTATGCACTGTAAATATGACCTGCTTGAGTGAAAGAATACTTAAAAGGTACCTAGTTTCAGACTGTACAGCGGTTTTCTTTAGGCATAGGCTTTAGGGTTGGAGGCACACAAAGAAATACAAAAATTGAGGCAATTATTTTTACATACTTGGTTGAAGCACTTCCATAAGTGCTTCAGTGATAGTGAATAAAAGCATGGATCTCTTGATCCATTTAAAGTTCATTTTGTTCTGCCTGTATTTGTGACCTGGGATTACAAAGTCAAGCAATGACAAAGGAGAGTAGGATATGAAAAGTAAATCAAGAACACTCACAAAAAAAACCCTTGAAGGTACTTTAAAAACAAATACAATTTTAGATTAGAAACTTTCTTTTTAAGTTAAGCAACTGTATAGTTTTTTGAAGTTTCCAAGTGAACCCAAATTCTAAAAAAATAAGGTGAAAACCTTCCATTGACTCAGCCCCCAATTGTTTTGTAAAATACTTCAGGGGAAGGCAAATGAAGCAGATAGCATTGTGATGCTGAAAGACTTCTGCAGGCTACTGCATCCTGACATACTATGGAGTTTAATTAGACAAATGTCTTAATTTAACAATGAATATAATTCTAAAGTGGTTTAAAGTAATGTGCAAAATTATGCAAACATCCTTAAACTAGAACGGTTTTGCTTTAAAATTCTGGTTTAAGGACAACTAAATGAATGCTATAAATCACCAAATAGTAGTACTTGCGTTTTAAACAAGTGTGTAGCATAACTGATCACATCCTAACCCAAACCACATTGCTTAGTTTCTGAGTAATGTGGCTGGGATGGCAGCGCGAAATCTGCACGACCGCATAGTGTCAGTCCACTCGTTGAACCAGACTAACACCCTGATTGGAAATTTATTTTCCCAATTTCGCAAGTAAGATGCATTCACTAAAATGGCTTTAATTCCACATAATACATTCAGAATCGGGATACCGGTCAGTAAATTACAAGCATCGTGGTTTTACCTAAGGTGTTAAACTCCTTTTAGACTTGTGCAGTTTACATGTCCAATTCTACTCGTTTACACGACAGTAAATTCTACTGGGATTAATTTTCGATTGTACATGCATAGCATTGGCCTGTTCGACACAGATAGGTATATTATCATATTGTTACACCAAACTCTGTTAACCTATAATTTATTTCAAAACTTAGACGCGCACCCGTGCCTTTTTTAAACCTTGGGAAGATAACCTCATTAAACTAACGAAAGCCTGTTTTAAACCAAACTGAAGTGCCCCTCCGCTGAGTTCTGTCAACCCTCCAAAAAGATTAGGTTAACATCGCGCTTTTCAAAAACTTATCTCAACATTAACCGACGCTAAAGAAATTATATACCGACAAACAGCTAGTAAACGGGAATTACTTTCGTGATGTTGATGTCAGTCTCGTGAGTGCCTTTGCCTTTATTTGGGGCTTTCCGCGCGGATTCGGGAATATAAGAGAATCCTTTTACTGGATCAATGATCATTTTGCCATTTAAAAATCGCGGTCGCGGGATACGGAAATAGCATATTGTTACAACAGACGACGTCAGATGCAAGAGTAGCACGGCCCGATCCTAAACATGGACAAACCTGTGTGTATGTTAGCCCAAGTAAATTCGCTGAATTGCTGGTAAGTACGTTTACGACTTCAGCCTGAGTATCTCTGCCATATCGGAGGGACAAGCCTCCAGACTAGATGCCCTAAAAGAGTCTTGTCGCTCCCCGTTATTCAAAATTGTGCCATCGCATCGCATACTGGCCTTTGGCACTTGTGTGCGTGAGCGATGTCTTTTCTGGAGGAAGGGGGGAATTGCAAAAACTCTATTGCACTGAAGGGCTATGTGTTTTCTCTCCAGCTGAGACAGACAAAGCTTGCGAAGCCCCTACCCGCCCGTCTTCATACTAGTCGTCAGGCGAAAAATATTCCGGAGCATTCTCAGCGGGATTCGGTCCAAAACCACTTGTTGCTAACTGGGCCTAGAAATGGGACCAGTGCCCCAAACCTCTCTTAAGTGACCGCACAAAAGTAAAGCTTAAATAAATAAATAAATAAATAGCTCGGACTATCAACCCAGCTTCCTAAACGCCTAGAATTACGATCCACAGAAGTCATGCTCCGGATTACTTCCACTGAGATCAATAATCTACAGTAAACCCTGAACAACCATTGCCAGCTTGTCTGCTGCTCGACCAGCCTACGAGTACTACTGCGCACGCGTCAGAAACTATAATATTCCCATAGGCAAGAGCAATAGAAAACTACAGTTTTATGTAAGGTTGCGCTTCAAACCCGAAGGGCGGCCAAAAAATAAAATAAAATAAATGCGCATGCGTTCCGACTTCTTAACTCCAGACGCCCAAAAAGTAGTCTAAGCTTGTGCGCTTGCGCAGTTAAGGAGGGGTCGGTTCAGGGTGGGGAGAACTACGCCTGCGCATAGGAGTGCTTTGCTTGTTGGGAGGGGGTCAGTAAGAGAAGGCTATGCCGCGCAGGCGCAGTATGGCGGCCGAGTATGTGTATGTGAGAGTCTGACGGGTTCAAAATGGCGGCGGCTGCTTCTATGTGAGGGGAAGAATCTGGGGGTGGCGGGGAGGGAGCGAATGGTAGCGGCGGGCCGCTGGCGGCGGGTTGAGGGGCTGGGGGGCGCGGTACTAGGTCGTCTTTGTAGGCCCCAAGAGCCGATACGGCGGCGCGTGCTGGCCCAGTGCAGTGAGAGGCTCCGGTCGCGTCCCGGGGGTTGTTAGGGCTAGAGGCGTCAGGGTTCAGGCTGGGCTGCGAGTTC